CGCTGGCCAAAATGATTAGAACACTAGTATTATCAGCAGCTGAAAATGGTTTTAAGTCAGTTATTTCTATCTTTAGCTGTAGCGTGTCGGTAGGAAATATCAGTTTACATTTCCAAACATTCATTTAGCGTGATCTGATCATCATCATCATCAGTCTGCCTGGAGTCACATGAAGAAACAGAACAAACTGAGACAGACTCGATGAATGTTTGGAAATGTAAACTGATATTTCCTACCAAAAGATAGAAATAACTAAAACCATTTTCAGCTGCTGAGAATACTAGTGTTTGAATCATTTTTGCCACCGCTGTATATGACTGGAGCTCATCATGATGTGATCAGGTGACATTGTGAATGCTTCTGATTGGCTGCAGGCTCGGAGGCGGAGCTGATGACGCCAGAGAAGTGATGGGGCACAAGTTCTTCTCCGGTATTCACTGGGAAGATGTGCTGCAGAAGAAGGTGCTTCTGATCGTGAGCTTGTGTTGAAGGGTTTGGATGCAGATTATGACATCTGGTTTTTGTTTTTTCTGCAGCTGGTGCCGCCCTTTAAACCGCAGGTGACGTCAGAGACGGACACACGCTACTTTGACGATGAGTTCACAGCGCAGAGCATCACTGTTACACCGCCAGACAAGCGTAAGCCCAAAGTCTACATAGTGGCACGCGTGCAAGAAAAAAAAAAAAGTCCCTCGATTTTTATGAAATTTAAGGTCATAAAAACACTTAAATGGTCTAACAAACGTCTTAAACTTTCATAGTGGAAATAATATGAGGTGGGAAAAAAGCAATAAGCCCCAAGAAGCCGTGGTTTACAGTGAATTTATAACAGCTAAGGGGCGTTGTTAGGCACGACGCGAAGCGGAGTTAGCTGTTATAAATTCACTGTAAACCACGGTTTCACGGGGCTTATTGCTTTTATAAAACGGTTATTCCATATACGTAGTAAGGTTTCACAGAATAAAACAGAGCAAATAAAGTGTAATGATATTAATAAAAACAGTATTCTTCCACCAAACAATGTAGCTCCTCAGAAACAGTTGTGGTTGCTACAAAGTGGTTGCCGAGCAACACACAAACGTAAACAAAGGTGTGTGTTACTTTGTAGAGTCATTTACAACAGCTTCGAACGCAGCTCAGCCAATCAGAATCAAGCACCGGAACTATCCGCTTTATAACATTATTTTATTCCTTTTACGAGCAAACACAAAGTTTATTAAGGCAGCGCAATAGATTTGCAAGCAAATGCAAAGTTTCTCCGAGGAATACAAATATTTTATGAGTGAACAAATGTTTCGGAAGAGAACGCAAATGTTTCTCAGGGAAATGAAAATGTTTTTATGAACAAACGTAAATGTTTAAGAACAAATGCATATGTTTTCCGAATGAAAGCAAATGTTTTGCAAATGAATGCAAATATTTAGCAAACAAACGCACATTTTGCAAACTCAAATGTTTTACAAACCACCGCAAATGTTTTACGAAGAAACATGTTTTTCAAACAAACGCAGTTTTATGAAGGAACAAATATGATTATGATGTCAAATATGACAGCTAAGGGAGGTTTCCGCTTCGCGTTGTACCCAACAACGCCCCTTAGCTGTTATAAATTCACTGTAAACCATGGCTTCACGGGGCTTATTGCTTTATTTTTTCTTTTAACTCTTTCCCCGCCAGCGTTTTTGAAAAAAGGTGCCAGCCACCGCCAGTGTTTTTGCTGATTTTCACTAAAATCTCACGGCCTCCAGAATATTTTGTTGTATGAATATCTGAACATGCAATACATCAAAATAAAGAACTCAGAAAATTTAAAAAATCAGTTTTATTCTAGCTTCAAGCATTGTTTTTTTTATCAACACTTGAATGTTGGTAGGTTTCATAAAAAAGCAACATTTTGAGCAAAAAGCTGAGAAAATCTAATTTTTATCAAATACTACATCTGGATCATATTCGGTAATATTATCAAAGCAAAGCTGCAGTAGATGGCTTCCATCAGCGCTCCCAAAGCTTGCACACTTTCTGGATCCACCTGGATCCACATTTCACTCAGGAACATTAGGCAGGTTTCATTTATACGCGGTTAGTGTTGATGATCGCATTGTTTTTCATATGCACATGCTTACATATGAGAGCGCTGGTTTCTGCGTCTTCCTGGTCTGTGTTTTTGATCGAGTGATTCTAGACTCATTCAGGAGATGCGTAATAGCGCCCCCTAGCTTTTAACAGCGAGAACACGGAAAATTCTGTGTTTGGCAGGGAATATACGTTATGAACAGAACTGTGATATTTCAAACATACTGAAATATGTGTAAAAAAACAACTCCTCATTTCAATAAAATACAGTTAGACATAAATTTGCAAAGAACCGTCAACATCAGTTTTCAGAAAGAGAGACACACTCACTCACACACTCTCTCACACACACACACACACACAACACTCACACACACACACACTCACACACACACACACACACACACACACACACACACACTCTCACACACACTCACACACACACA